TATATATATATATATATATATATATATATATATATATATATATATAGTTTTTTTACGCTTTAAAATCTCCAACATGGTGTCTACGGAAGCCGACAAAGAACATGCTAAGCAACACATTTTTTAAAACGATCTTTATTTTAAGATAAATAACCCTTTCCTCAGGATCAGATGTCAATATATTCATTTATACATTAATTTTAAAGTTATTTTTTATGGAAGTTTTAGTTGGATAATAAAATTAAAGCTTGATTTGATGACGTAATATTTTACTAACAGCCTAAAATCAGATTCATGCGTCCCTCCGCGCAGTTCTGATCCTCTTCTTGAAACGGGCTCGTGCGGAAACGGGTGTTCTGCTGTTCTGTAGTGTTGGGTCCAGTCCAAATGACAGAAAGAGGCAGCGGCGGGCCGGCGGTTCGGACGGTTCTGCAGCAGTGCCTGCAGGCCAGGCTGCAGGTGGAACCAGCCGAGGAGGACCGGGAGGCTCGTTTCGTCCAGGTCGGACAGAACCATGTTTATTTATTTCAGAACAAACAAACAAACAATGCAGTTACAGTACACGTTTCGACTGCTTGTCGCCCGCCGCTTTTATGACAGAGATTTAAAGTGGGACCCAAACCAAGTTTTTGTCAAATATTTGGAGTAAATCAAACTAAAGAAATTGCATTTCCTGGTAAAATGTAGTGAGAATGCTTTTTGCTGAAGAACAGCTAAAATTAGCTAAAAACATGCTGAAATGTAGCTGAAATAGAAGAACAAGCCTAAGTTAGCAGAAGAAAACAAAAAGAACACAAATTTGCTGAATTAGTTTAAAATCAACAGAAATTGGCTAAAAAATTTAAAAAAAGATGAAAAGGCGAAGCTTAACTACCAGAAGGAAGTGGAATGAGCTGAAATGAGCTTAAAAAGAAAAAGTGTAATTAGCTGAACAAGCTGTATAAATTCAGCTCCAAAAAAGCTAAATATCAGAAATGGTAGAAAAATCTGAAAATAGCAGAAAAGAGCTGGAAGGCACATAACAAGCTGAAATTAGCATAAGTAATTAGGCTGAAAGTAGCTGAAATTAGCACTAAAAAGTGGAAATTATCTGGGAAAAAAAATCTGAAATAAGCAACCAAAAAAAACAAAACATCTGAAAAGTAGCTAAAAAGGCAGACAGACACGTAACTTACCACAAGAAAGTAGAGAGAGCACATTTTTGCTTGGGCTGATAAAAATGTAAATTAGTGCAAAAAATGGGGAATTAGCTGAAAATGCTAAAATTAGCATAAAAACAGCTAAATGTTAGTTGAAACGGAGCATAAAATGCTGAAATTAGCAGAAAAAAGTTAGAAGCACAAAAATGTTGTAGTTAGCAGAAATAATCTAAAGGAAGCACAAAGCAGCTGAAATTAGCTGAAAGTAGCTGAAAACTTTAAATTTGCACAAGGAAGCTGAAAGAAGCTGAAGCAAAACAAAACGTGAAATGAGCAGTAAAAGGTTGTAAACGCATCTAAAGATTTGAAAGATGAAAAATGAGCTCAATTAATTTTCTATGAGACAAAATTGGTATAAAATGCTAAATATTTCACAAAGCTAACGTTGCACCAATACCAAAAGTCAGGATTGTCCTGAAAGAGCTGAACGTTTTGATTTATTTCTTGGAATAGCACAAAAACTGTGAAACGAGAAAGAAGCTGAAAAACAAACAGAAGAAAAACGGATCACAATAGACACAAACTTTCACAAACTAAAAGCAGAGTTTAGCTCTGTGTCTAAATCTGAGCTGTTTGTTAGCTGTGGCGGCCATCTTGATCCTGCTGTCCACTGGCTCAGGAGATATTTTGCTAACAGATTGACTGAGGCAAAAACTGAAGCGCTTACAGTTGTATAGAAAATCACCAGATAAATTAAATTAGGAACGAGACTTCTTGTGGAAGTAAATAAATGTTGTTTTTGTTTGTAAGGTCCGGTTGTGTTCTGTTGGTTCAGCCCGTTTGTCTCCCTCACAGATCCACAGAGGGATGGTGATCTACGTCTGCTTCTTCAAGGGCGCCACAGACGACATCCTGCCGAAAACGGGTCAGAACCAGTCCGTCCTTCATGCTGAGGAGGTTAACAAAGATGGAAAATAAATCAAAATAAATGCATGAAAAGCATAAAGAGCATCTTTGAAGGTTTTTGTGGATTCAAAAAAGAGAAATTAATTTTTATGGAAGATCTGGAAAGGACAACTTTTTATATTTATGTTTACATAAACAACAAAGGACACAACTGTTTGTGTGACTGAAGTTCTGTCCCTCTGTCCTTCACCCGTCCAGTGTCCACCCTGCTGAGCCTGCGGCTGTGCGAGTCCACCACGGGGCGCCTGGTTTCAGTGTCGGAGCTCCCGGGCAGCCTGCTGATCGTCCCTCAGGCCACGCTGGGGGGTCGGGCCAGAGGCCGGGCCATGCAGTACCACAGCAACATCAGCAAGGAGGAGGGTCAGCGTCTCTACGGCGCCTTCGTCTCTCTGTGCGAGAAGGAGCTGCTGGCCGCCGCGGCCGGGACCGGAGTCCAGGTCACCGTCCAACACGGAACGTACGGGAACAGACAGGTTCTGCAGCTCGACACCAATGGACCCTACACACACCTCATGGAGTTCTGAGGCCCGTCTGGGTCTGTCAGCAGAACCAGGAGGCCGATGGTCATTAAACCAGCTGCACCTGGACATCAGTTTCATGTAGAATTGTGCGTTTTTGTCTCAACAAAGAAACAAAACGTTTAATATAAAAATTGAAAGTTTTTTTGTTTTATTTTTTCTCAGTGATATTAAAGACCTTGTTGGAATGCATATTGTCCGTCACCTTTTGAGACGGTTTTACAATAAAATAACGTTTTGTTGACAAATAAAGTTGTTTGATCTCAAAGAATAATAATGAGATAAATAAGATCTCAGCACTCTGAATTTGTGTATGAGATGACTCTCGGCTACTAACACATCAACTTTTAGCCTCGATATCTGTAAATCTGATTTACAGACACGTTTGTGTTGCTTAGCTGTGGTGGCCATCTTGAATCGGGATCACTCTAATATTTAATGTAGTGTAGATGTATACCCACTAATTAAATACTGGAAGTTTTATTACTAACTGTCCACTGGTTTGTGAGATATTTTAACAGACACGGGGAATCTGGTAATGATGCAGGAAACAGTCCTCTGTTTGCTTGGGTTACAGAATCATTCACAACGTTGTAGCTGTGGAAAGAGTAGTCGCGCATGCGCTATTATTGGCCCTGCCCCCTTTATAGACATAAGTAGCCTAGATAGGTTAGCTTTTACGGCTAACAATAATAAACGGAGAGGTTTGTAGAAAAAATATGCATTTGAGTTTTTTTCACAAATTAAAAAGTTTCCTGGAAACAGGTGATGTGCTCTTAAGTTCAAATAAACAAGAAAAAAAATGAAAATCAGGCCTTGGTCTAGTAATTTGATCCTGAACGGTAGCTCCGGACATTAGCTTCTTGAGGTTTGTGGCAATTCGAGTCGAACCTGCTGGTTCTGACCCAGATGATGTCAGGCCGGTCATGCGGCTTGTTGTCCTGTGCGAAGCGTAAACGGGCAAACATGGCGGCATGAGGAGCACCGCGGGCCGGGTGGTGGCTCGGTTCTTCTGGCGCTTCGGGTCCGGATGGGTAAACAGATGGACCACAATGTTAAACTGCAGTTTGTTACTCAAGAGCTGTCATTCATGCCAAATACATCCCGGTAATAATCGTGTGATAAAGTGCAAAACTTTCCAGTGATAATTCATGTGTTGTTATTGATTCAATGTGTATATAATAAGTATATTTAAAAAACAAACCACTGTTTGTTGATTTCATACTGATTTATACATTCCATTCTAACAGCTTTTAGACCACATCTAGAACTGTTAGATCTATAACGCCCCCCAAAAAATAACATGTTTGCGCATGCGCAACTAACGGTAATGCGCACGCGCGATTATGAAATGATACTTCCGCCGAATGACCTTCCTACAAAAACAAAAGCACAAAATGTCGTTAGTCATACAGTAAACATTAAGTGTTTTAGGTGCATAACTTTGTCATTTAAACCAACATTTTGCATACAAATGAAAACGCGTATTGACTAATTTAATGACTTTTTTTAATATAAAAAGACGAAGTTATCTCGTTTGATAAAAACTAAATTATGTTCAGTGATTCATGAGTTTCTAACAGTGTTTTATTGGCTTCTTTAAGTTTCATCTACAGAATACAATAGAAATCACTTGAAAATGAAAATAAATAATAAATTAGAAAACCATAAAGCTATCATTTTATTCTTTCAGTATATTTACATTTTTGTAACCTCCAATAAAAAAAAAAAAAGATCTTTTATTTTGGAAATCCTCCAACCGGAAGCACTCGTGTTACTTCTGCTACCAAATTTCTCCACGGAACCAAGCGCCACAATTAGCCTCTTTTTTGGGTTAGAATGTGCCGTTTCGGTGAAAGTGTTAATATTTTTGGACAAAAACGAGGAACCTCCGATTCGCTGTGAGGTGTTCCGGTGAAAAGCGGCTCCGTTTGCCCCGGAGGTTAGCCCGGAGTTGGCGGCGGTGTTTCGGGGATTGTTGTTGACCGGACGTGAGAGGCTCCGAGGTGGGAACGGTTTGAGTCCAGAAACTGGAGCGTGTGGAAAAATAAAAGAACTAACAGTTTTTAATGTTTAACAATCTGTGTTTGGGGTTTTTACAGCTTAATAAGAACAGTAATAATCTGCTGCAAGCTAATTGTGTTCAGACTAAACTGTTCCAATAAGTTGTTTATTGTCCTGTTTTTAAAGTTTATACATACATTTATTTAGTATTTAGGTTATACATTATATACATTTAAAAATGCCAAAAGTCTTGAAGAATTAGTGCATGCCATTTAAAGTAACAAATTATATGTTTTGAGTTTTGATTTGAATGTTTTGTCAACCCTGATGGATTAAATGAACTGAAATATCAGAATTCAGCTTTATTTATTTTTTTAAATCTTAGAAATGTTTAGTCTTCTTAAAGTTTGTTCGTCAAAGGAAAGTCTTGTTCAGCTAACCGGTCCAGACTGAACATTTCTTCGGGACTCTGCAGATGTTCCTCACGTTGCGGTCTTCTCCTGCAGATGCCCTCGTTTGGGTTCCTGGACAGTTTGGAGAATTTCTTGGAAACAGGAAAGTTTCCTGCCGATGCGTCTAAGAGCCTAAAGAAATCCCTACGAGCTGCCGGAAAACGTTTCATCCACAAAGGTAATCTACGGGATTATACCACGGGAGGAAGGAAAGCACACTTTAATCCCAAAGATGTTTTCCTTCAGTTATTGTCTCCGAGGAAACCAGGATTAAATAATCCAGTTCCTGTTTGTGAGTTGAGTAACAGGAAGTGATGCTGTTGCTCCCACAGATGGCTCTCTGTGGCGACGCTACCGAGGTCGCCTTCTTCGTGTCGTCAGAAGTGAACAGGAAGTCCGGGAGATCCTGACCCGGTACCACAACGACAACAACCATGCGGGCCGGGAGCGGGTCGTGAGGGAAATCATGGTGAGTGTGGGCGGTTTGTCGGGGGGGTGTTGGCGTGAGCGCAATGACAGAAACTTCCTGTGGTCTGTTTCCAGCTCATGTACTACTGGGTCGGAGTGACCGAGACCGTGAAGAACTGGGTCAAGTCTTGTTCCGTTTGTCAGGAACGTCCTCCCCCTCACCCGAATCAGCCGACGGTTCTGCTCTGCCTGGTTTACGGCTGCGACGCATCCAGTTACGCCTTCCCCGAGCTCACCTTCCACAGGTTAGACGCTGACACTTCACAAACGGACAAAAGGAGAATTTGAAACGTGCTTGTTGCTTTTCAACGACTCCGGTTTGTGCCTCAGAGTCTCAGACGTCTCGTTCCTCCGTCCTGTAGGTTTCCTAAAGACAGTGAGCTGAGGAAGAGGTGGCTGGAAGTGGCTCAGAGGGACGAAGGCTCGCTGCGACCCTCCTCCTACATCTGCTCGCGACACTTCGAGCCGTCCTGCTTCACGCTGACCGAGGACGGCCTGCTGACTCTGTCCCCGGACTCTGTCCCCACCGTCCTGCCCGCCACGGTGCAGGGGACTGAGGTGACGCATGGCGACTAGCTGCTTTAGCTTTTAGGTCAACTTTAGCTGCTTTTAGCTTTTGGGTCATCTTTAGCTGCTTTTAGATCATCTTTAGCTGCTTTTAGCATTTAGATAATCTTTAGCTGCTTTTAGAATGTAGATGATATTTAGCTGCTTTTAGATCAACTTTAGCTTCTTTATGCTTTTAGGCCACCTTTAGCTGTTTTTAGATCAACTTTAGCTGCTTTTAGCTTTTAGATAATCTTCAGCTACTTTTAGATAATCTTCAGCTGATTTTAGATAATCTAACTGCTTTTAGATTTAGATCACCTTTAACTGCTTTTAGATCAACTTTAGCTACTTTTAGCATTTAGATAAACTTTAGCTGTTTTTAGATCAACTTAATCTGCTATTAGATCATCTTTAGCTTCTTTTCAATTAAGTTTCCTACTTTTAGATCAACTTCAGCTGCTTTTAGATAAAGTTTAGCTGTTTTTCCATGCTTGCTGTTGTTCTGTTAATTCAAACTGAACTCTTTGAAGGAATGCACGTCGCCCGCCGTGCTTCAACGATCTGTTAGCACTCAGAGTGTTGGGGATGACTCCCAGCTACTACCAATCCAACTTTAGTTCCTTATTTACATTTTTTAGTCTTTTTGTGTTTGCTCAGGTTAACTGGCAGAGGCGGCCATCTTGGATTCAGTTGACTTCCAGGATTGTTTAGATGTTTGTGTTCATCCAGTTAAGCTTCCTGTTGTCGTGGAAACAGTTATCATTTCTGTCTGTGTGGAATGAAACAATAAGTTCTTGAGACCGGTTCTGGTTCTCCTCGGTGGGCTTCAGGTCCCTGACCCGTCGGACGAGGACTTCCTTCAGTCCAGCGCCTGGAACGATGAGCTGACCCGAGCTGCAGCTGCAGCGGCAGCAGGAGCTGCTGATCACGGCGATCAGACCTGCGCCCTCTCCGAACCCTCCGAGGGGCTGCAGGAGCACCAGTACTGCATCCCGGGTCCAGCTCCGGACTCCAGAGCCACCCACATGATAAACGCCAACAGGATGACGTACGTCCAGACCAACTTCGTCACCTACAATCACATCGCCAGGTAGGATCAGCCGACCACTCCAAGGCCGTCTGATGAAGGAGGTCTTCTTTTAACAGCAGGAGGTTTTTGTTCTGCAGGTACCTGGGCACCCGGGTTCTGCCTCTGCAAGGCAAGAAGAGCAGAACCGCTTTGAAACGGATGGCCAAACGCTTCGACCTGATCGGTGACTGAACCACCGCAGCATCGCTGACTTTAAAAGTTCTCATTTCGTCTTCTGACACGAGCGCACGTTTCTGTTTCAGATGGAGTTCTGATGTACACTCGGGTCTCCCCACCGCTCAGAGTGCCGCGCAGCAGGGAGGAGGTAACTACCAAACACACCTGTCCAGGTCCAGAGCCAAGCAGGTCTCCGGAGTCCGTCTCACGGTCTGTGAATGTTCCAGGTGAACTCCATCCTGCAGCAGTTCCATGACAACCAGGGTCACTACGGTCAGGGCATCTGCCAGAGGGAGATCGCCAAGCACTTCTACTGGGGCAGCCTGAGCCGGGACCTGGCCGGCTGGATCTCCAGCTGCCAGACCTGCATCAACAGAACCAAGAGGAAGATGATCCGCTGCAGCGTCAACAAGTGCTCCAACCGCTGCGGGCCCGTGGAGAGGAAGCTGGGCCTCACCTTTCACAAGTACGAGTCCAAACCATCAACGTTAAAAGGATCTCTGAGTAGTTGGAACAACGAACCTTGTACGATAAACAATTACTTCAGCTCTAATAACGAGACCGTAAAAATAATGTAGGCCGTTTAATTTTTATGATGTTTTATTTATATTAATTAGACAAATGTTGACATTATAGTTTTGCTGCAATGCATTCTGGGCAAATGACATAGACCAGTTGCTCCAGTGCATGCTCCACTCAGCTCGAATGTTAGTTAAACAAATTTGTTAAAAAGTTAGCTACAGAGCTAATAGCTATAGCATTCGCATTAGCGCCAGAGCTAATGGTGTTAGCATCAGACCTAACGGTAATATTTGTAGAGTTAACTCCAGAGCTAATAGCATTAGCTTCAGAGCTAATATATATATTTATAAAGTTAGCTACAGAGCTAATATATATAGCATTAGCGCAGGAGTTAATTGTGTGTTAGCTTCAGAGTAATGTATAATTATAGTTAGCTTCAGTGCTAATAGCATTAACTTTAGAGCTAATATATATATATATATATATATATATATATATACACACACATACACTCATTTATAATATACATAGCTATATATACTGTAAATACTGGCATATAGATTGGAATAGAATAGAAACAGCCTTTATTGACCCACAGAGGAGAAGTTCAAATGCAACAGCAGCAACAGATATAAAGATTCACACAAAAAGTCCTTAAAATGTTAAAAAATATATTAAAAATACAAGATAAACAATAACAACAACAATAATAATATATTATACAAGACTACAATAGAAAATACAGTGCAATAAAAAAAATAACATGTCGAACTCACGATCATATATACAGTGTGTATATGTACTATATATATATATATATATATATATATATATATATATATATATAT